ACATAAATATTCACCACTGAAGAAGTACGTACTGACACAGGATGATAAATAACAGAGGAAAATTTGTATATGCAAAGAGGCTTTTATAATCCAGATTTTGTGATCACAGCACTACCTGATCACCTGAAAGATTTGAACATAGGTAGAGTTTTTAACTGCTGACTTTCTAACCGTGGAACTGACGCAAGCTTTGCTAACCTGAAGAAGACCAGAAACACTGTCTCTGAGCCAAACAGACATGTAATGCTTGAGCTTTGGCCACTCTTATTTTGATTTCTCTCTTATGAGACATCCTGGCACATCCCAGCACATCCCAAAGAAGCCAAATACTGACTCCTTCTGCTAGCGCATGGCTCATGCTAAGAGCTCACTCAAAAATACCTTCTTTTAAAAAATAAATTACTTATCTATTCTACACTAAGTAGAAAGTCTATTAACAACAAGCAACTAAATCTTCCTTCCCATACTCAAAAATTACATAGGATCAGGGAGGTTAATAAACTTGAATCATTTGGATCCCTGTATCGGCCAGCTGCTAGGAAAAAAACAAACAAAAAAATACTGCTTGAATCATAAAGAGACTAAATGAAAGAAGAGAGTGCATATTTATATTTGCTAAGTGCTTATCTATGCCATCATCTGGCCTCTGTTTACATATATTTTATTATAGCAACCAAGTGGGATAGGTAGCCTCATTTACAGAATAAGAAAACAGAGCTTGGCAAGGTCAACTAACATGCCAGAGGTCATAGCTAGTGACACACCTGGAGATTTAAGGTGGACTTGTGTGACTCCAAAGACAATGCATTTTTTTCTATAAATTGTAGCCTTAATACTGGTCTCCAAGTGAAATCAACATATAAAATGCTGACTGGTTTCTATGCCATTAGGCTTTCCCCCTTGGCTCTACCCATATTTGGCTCTGCCACTAGAGTGCTTTTTCTGAAAAGTAAATCTGAACATATATTCTGCACTTAAAATCCTTCAGTGGTACCCTCTGACCTACAGAAGGAGGTCATTTCCAATATGTGTCCCAGAGTTCTAGAATTCCCCAGAAGTGCTTCTGAAGCCAACTTAGATGCCAGTGGAAAAACTGAGTGGGCCATGATCCAACCAAAGCAGTTCCATTTTTGACCAGTTTAATAAACTGAGGATCTAGGTAAGGCTTTGTTTGAAAAAGGGCTCCACTGTGTTTAAAATATATATTTATTTCTTTATTGAATATTTCACCGCCTTCCGTCCTTGGCATTACCTGGCCCCAGCCTTATTTCCCACTCTCCCACATGCCAACTATCCATCATTGCCTGAATAGTTTGTGATCTCTTTTCCTCCAGGCCTTTGTTCATCATCTTGTATTTGCCTGAATGGCCTTTCTCTACTCACTCTTCTGCTCCTTCTCTATGTCCCTAACTTTCCCTCTTGTCTCCTTGGCCTACTGCTAAACACTTCTCAAATATTCAGCATTAGACGTCATATATTACCTACAGAAGTAGGTCATTTCCAATATGTGTCCCAGAGTTCTAGAATTCTCCAGAAGTGCTTCTGAAGCCAACTTAGATGCTAATGGAAAAACTGAGTGGGCCATGATCCAACCAAAGCAGTTCCATTTTGACCAGTTTAATAAAACTGAGGATCTAGGTAAGGCTTTGTTTGAAAAAGGGCTCCACTGTGTTTAAAATATATATTTATTTCTTTATTGAATATTTCACCGCCTTCCGTCCTTGGCATTACCTGGCCCCAGCCTTATTTCCCACTCTCCCACATGCCAACTATCCATCATTGCCTGAATAGTTTGTGATCTCTTTTCCTCCAGGCCTTTGTTCATCCTCTTGTATTTGCCCGAATGGCCTTTCTCTACTCACTCTTCTCCTACTCCTTCTCTATGTCCCTAACTTTCCCTCTTGTCTCCTTGGCCTACTGCTAAACATTTTTCAAATATTCAGCATTAAACGTCATGACATGTTTATTCTGTGAAACCTTTTATAGCATCCTCTCCCACTTTCCCTCAGAATTAAGGAGCCTCTTTCATACTGTCAAGGTTTTGATAATAATATTTATCAAAGTGTATTATATAAATGATCTACTTTCCCTAAATTAGTGGTTCTCAACTGGAGAGCACTTTTGCCATCCGGGGGACATTTTTGAGTATCTGGAGGTATTTTTGGTTGTCACAACTAGGAAATCCGGGGGACATTTTTGAGTATCTGGAGGTATTTTTGGTTGTCACAACTAGGAAGGGTGATGGGATGCCTACTGGCATCTAGTGGATAGAGGCCAGGGACACAGCTAAACATCCTGTACTCCGCAGGACAGCCCCCAGCCCCATCTCCCAAACAACAATGGATTATTCTGCCCAAAATGTTAGTAGTGCTGAGGTTGGGAAACTCCATCCCAGACTTTCAGTCCTTTAAGGGTCAGAACTAGCTTTGAATCCCCAGCAACTTAAATAGGACCTGGGACATCATAGATACTCATTAAATATTTAGTAAAGGAATAAACATTTCTCAGTACCTTCATACTTGAAAGTATAGTCTCCTTATGTTTTATTCAGTCATCTGTGACTGCTACTAATTAGGCCTTCATTTCTTTTCTCCCACTACTGAGCCTCCCTTTGCTCATCTTCCAAGTGCTTAAAAAAATGAGATGACATTAAAACTAGCTAGTATGTGATCACTAATGACCCCCTGCCCCTTGAAGTCATGTACATGATGAATTGGTTTCAGAACACAAGAAATTACTCAGTAGAAGCATAAAAGTATAAATGAGTCAGTAGAAATCCTAAAAAGATTGAGATATGTATATAAAAGAGGTAGGAAGAAGTTTACCTGAAGTTTGAATAACTCAGAATATAAAAAGGCTTGGGCCATTCTCGAGAAAGGAGAGGGAACTATATTCTGAGAATTAGAGGAAGACCACTGAAGAAGTGGTATTTCATATAGCTAAGATCCATGGAAATCTAAGGCAGGAAAGTTAAATGCAGAGGAAGTGAGCCCCCAGGTGCACAACTGATGCAGAAAAGTCGGCTGTAAGACTTCCACTGTAAGACCCAGTGGGCGATGATTATAAAGTCTCTAGTGATAGGGAAGAGACAGAAATAAAGTAGAGGGTATGGCATATAAAGAAATAGTTATGTTCTGCTCTCTCATCTAAGCTATTTCTGGGCTTGTCTGGTAGAAATTTGTCCAGAAAGTTTTGTAGCATTCATCCCACTTTACCTTAAAATACTTATATCTCTCCATCCAACTGGAGATTTAGTTTGGTCTTATTCCTTTATTCATTGAAAAAAAAAATATTACCAAAGGCTGGCCAAACAGACATGGTCTCTACTTTCACATATTTTAGTTTAATACGGTTGAGAACTGAAATCAGAGCCTTTCCCGTGATTGCAAAGCTAATGCATGATGGAGCCAGAATTCAAACCAGGTGCTCCAAAGCCCAAGCTCTTCTCCGCTATAGTAGACTACTACTATTCCACATTTAACCTCTCTAAGCTTTGGTTTCCTCATGTGGAAAATAGGAATAATAATGGTATCTCTCTCTAGGTGTATACTACGTGTCCAGTAGTTGTTAGGTCTTAAAATTTGCTCTTCAGAAAAGGAAAGAAGGATAAAAAGTATTTTCTGTTTCTAATACCTCCAGCTAGGGGCCCCGCTTGGGAGCACGGCGGCGCTCCCGCCAAGGGCTCGGATCCCATATAGAGACTGGTCCGCTCACTGGTTGAGCACGGTGCGGGCGCGACACCGAGGGTTGCGATCCCGTTGCCGGTCGTGGTACGGGCACAACACTGAGGGTTGCGATCCTGTTGCCGGTCACGAAAAAAGACAAAAAGGAAAAAAAAAAACCAGGTGCTCCAAAGCCCAAGTTCTTC